TTCGTTTTTAATCGCTCGGTATTAATTAACCATAAGTTTTCAAAGAATGAATTTGGTGTTCCGCTTAAGACTAACCACACGTCTTTCATGTGTAATGGTTAAACGTGTACATAGAAACAAAGTTTATTCGTTCTTTAATATACTGAACCGAAAAAAGAAACGCGACTTTTGAAAACCAAATGCAATAATTTTGTTCTTACAAGGTGGTGTTTTTATTGTCATTGTACCGTGTTGTTAACATGTTTTTCAATCCAAATTGACAGTGTGTTTTCTGCTGAAAAAGCATATCGACCAAACGTACCTAAAAAGATAGACGTGGGAAAAGGTTCCGTATGACATTCGTAAAAAGGAAAATGCATGTTCAGATCGTGACAACCCTACGAATGAAAGCGAGTCCCAAACTCGCCTGAAATCATTCTTGTGTTGGCACAATCGCCATACCACGACTTACGAGAGAAGAGAGGAGCCAAGCGTCGGGACGATTGCAAACTTGCCAAACTGCACGGAGGGTAGCCAATCATTTTAATGTTCATGTTAGGACATCTACCGACTGCAGGAACGGTGTCAGGCCACTAACAGCATCCCCGACCTGCAGTAACATCACAACGTCAAGACTGACAGATTGTGCGCAATCATCTGCAGGATCGCTTCACCAGAGCCACGGAGACAGCTCGCCAGACCACTGTGACTCATAAGAGACCCATTAGTGCCGATACAGTGCGTCGACGTTTGCGCGAAAGAAACCTCTACTGTCACAGACCATATCGTGGTCCTGTCCTGACCGCTCGTTACCGCCCAAACCGATTGCAATGGGCAACTCAGCATCGAAATTGACGTTGTCGAGAATGAAGAACTGTGCTGTTTTCTGATGAAAGCCTGTACTGTGTTTCGACAGCTGATGGCAGAGTGAGAGTATGGCGAAGGCATGGGGAACGGTTTTGGGTGGTCCAAGCATCATGGCGTGGGGTGCAATCGATCTGAAACAGAGAGTTGGCTCCGTGGTGTTCCGGAATCATGGTCCAGGACGAATAAATGGCGTGACAGCTGCTCGCTATACTGATTAAGTCATAAGACCGCCGCGTTGTACCACATTTTGAACCTCGCAGAAATCACATCTTCCAGCAAGGCAACGCTCGTGTCCATACTGCCAGAGCAACACTTAATGGTACCATTTTCGGTGAATTTGTGTGTGTGAACTCCAAATGTGATTCCCGAACATTTGTTAACCATAATTGTCAAGTTTAAACGCAATCCTCAGTTTTGATTGATAATTAGAGCAAAGTTATAGTCTGTGGTTTAAGAAACCTCTTTCGTTTCGGGTTTCTTTTGCGGTTCAGTATATATATAAAATATATCACCACCCTAATCCGCCAAAAATAAAATTGACATGGATGAAGACACTGATTTGTGCATGGGTATTCACGTATGTGTCTTTTTCTTTTTACATCAGTAATACAAACATGTACGTCATGTGAATCTTATATAGGGCCTGCTGGATTATCTATCCCTTGATGCTCAGATGCACCGCTAGGGGATGACGTGACAACCGGCTGTATGTCTGATATTCGAACTGCCTGATAGTACGGTGGAGGATCATCCTTCACGACATCATTGTAAGAAGGAGGTGGTGGGGACATGAATGGCAAAACAGTAGGAGCAGTAGGTGCAGTAGGTGCAGTAGGCGTAGTTTGCAGGTTGCTGGGGACGTTGATGAAAGAGACGGTGCCTTCATATGATCTGTTCCTCTGCTGTTGGTCGTTGGGAATGGATTTCTTCCTGGAACAAAGTCCACAGCAGCAGCAGGTTGCAATAGCTACAACTGTGATACCGCCAAATACACCTCCAAGTATGGCTGCGATGTTCGTGGACGCGATAGCTGAATCGAAATGAAAATGAAAATGAAACGACAAAACACAACAAAACAAAACAAACAAGAACAAAACAAAAGCAACGACAAAAACAAACAAACAATAACGACTATTTTGTAAGCATTGTTGTGAGATGGAATTCTAAACTTTTGAGAACATGTATATTTATATTGCAACATAATCGTGTCGTTCTAACTATAATGGGTTCCATTACAACCGGCCAGGACTATTTTATCTTCCGACTATGTCAAGATGATGTCAAACCCTGATTTGTCTGATATTGCGGTGGTTGTGGAGACTTCAGTTGATGTATAACGTCAAGGGAGGCGGTTCTTGTGTACAAAATGGGAACCGTGATGTTTTAAACAAGAGTAAATATACCCACTTATACCACAGTATGACACAAAACCATTTAGTCATCACCTGCTATTAGATCAGCTTCACCATGACCTGACATACATGTTGGTCAAAGGACAATTACGATGAAACGACAATTACATCCGCTAAACCCGTGACTTAATATTTTGACACTGGGTCAGTGTATGTCTGATTGCTTTAAGGCTGCCTTGAGTAAGTATGTTTTGCACGCCACTTTTAGCAAGATTCCAACAATATCAAGGTGGGAAAAACCAAAACTGAGTTTCATTCTTGAAGGGGAATCAAATCCTGGCCCCTGGTGTGACGAGCGAATGCTTTAACCTCTGGGTTACCCTAGTGCATTTTGAAAGGAACGAATAAAACTAAACATACATCCAGATGTTGGTTCACCGGCTGTAAATGACAACTTAAATCCTTCGAGGGAAGTCGAACCATCCGAGTTGAATTTAACCTTCATTGTCTGCCCTGTAGTCTGTGTATTTGGTCCATCTTTTCCACACCATCGACCGATCGAGCGTTCATAACTCGTGACTATTAACAGAACGTAACATTTGAGAAGTGTATGATAAATAAACAAATTACACCAGCTAATGTTACAAACATTTGTTAGGAGATACATTGCTTTGAAAAAGTATTTAATTTGTTCTTATTTGGGGATGACAATTTTACTTTACTATCTAGTGTTCCTCAATTCCATCAACCATATTTATCGTAAAAAAGTATAAATAAAATCTCAATAATCTCAAATGAGTTCGCACAAATCACAATACTTGATTATCCAAATAATGCTTTAAAGCAAGACCTGTGTCTATTGTGTGCTTCGTCAAAGTGGACAGCAGATCCGCTTAACAGCGTGTCAGCTTAAAACTGGAGGAAAACTCGAAGTCACACAGGTCGCTGACGTTTTCTCCTTTGGTGAAAAGGACGCAGCTTAAATTCAATTTAGGCAACTGTCTCTTTTACCGAATTCTAGGATAACCATGACTAATCCTAAGTCATTACCATCATAGAGCTGTACATAATCATAGGAACACGTGCTGCCGTACTCAATGTTGAAATAGACCGCTTCAACATGGATTACATATCCGTCAATGGATGTGCTGATTGTCCACTCACAGTCCGCATTGCTTAAATTGAAACAGACATTGGTATTAGCCATGTGTTCCGCATGTACATATGAAAATAAGAGAAATTAGGCACAGAAGTTGAAACAAATTATTGCATCATTTGACGACCACTTGTATCATAACTCACTATCACAGGCATTGCCATTATATATGTTCCATTTTGGTCATATGAACTCATCGTGCTGAGATCACTTGGAATGAAACAACCCAGTGATACACGTCATACCACAGTATGTATTCCTTCGCCTGGATTGTTAATCGATCTCGTAATTTTCTGATTTAATTTAAGGAAGGACAACAATATATGGATGAACAACTTCTTTATAAATAAAGAAGCTGTTCCTTTATATATTGTCATACAACCTTACTGCTCCGACTAATGACTCTCAAAGAAGTTGCTTTAATGTATCAGGTTGTTTTTTATGAAATGTATCATATGTATCATATATTCCTTGACCAAGTAAATTGTAAGGATTGTTTGTGTATTTCTTTCTTCTGTTCCTTGGGGTATGACTCCTAAAACTTGACTAATGTGCAAACTGTATGAATCCGCTTAGCATGCAGACAAACGAAAGGTTCATAGTATTGTTTTTGAAGTGATAGCAAATGAAAAGCACGAAACTATGAAAAAATCGTTGTGGTTTTATCCCCCAAATTTTTACCTCTGTGTTGCCGGGTTTGTCCTAAAAAGTGTGCCATGTACTTACTCGGGATAGGACAGAGGATAATTCGGCGATTCAATAAATTTTGTCCCATAGCTTATCGTATCATCTTCGCCACACCCTGAAACAAAGAAGTATTTCTTTAGTATCAAACAGTTCCGCAACAGTTCGTGTGGAGTTTCTGTGATGATGAGTGAGTGAGTATGTATTAACGCCCCTTTAAGCAATATTCCAGCTTCACTTATTTACTAATGTGGGGAATCGAACCCGTGTCCTTGGCATGACGAACGATCTTTTAAACCACAAGGTTACCTCACTGCCTCTCTTTGATGATGTTCTAGGAGAGACGGGTCAGTTCACTATTTAAAAGTCTACAAAAAGGGATGGTATACTGACCTTTCATAATAAATACATATATCAGGTTTACTGTTTCCTTTCGAAAATAGTCAATGCTTTTCTCATATATATTGACGTGGTTTGATATATCGATGTGTTAATTCAGAGAATTAGATGTTTGATTTTGTAAAACAACATACCATGTCCAATATCATTCATTGCATTACATTTATCACTTTATCAGATATTTCATCAAGGTAACACCTATCTGGACCATATATATACACAAAAGAGTAGCCAGTCCTTAAGCGACACACATACAAATAATTAATATAACAGAGTACGGATAAATGCAACTCTTGCCCTCCATCTTCTAGATGGAAGAACATAATGGTACAATCAATTGTACTATATTTACACATAATAAACTTCCAAAAAAGGTTTAGCGCAATTCAAGTTTAATTTTTTTCAGAGATGTTTATATATTGATGGTTCTGTGGAATACGTCTGTGGGTTGTCATGTATAAATATTCTTCAAATGATTTGAAAGCAGCTATGTGAAGAAATGTGTTTAAATACGTTAGTTCACGAAAGACGAAACGCATTCACATCAATACAAAATCAAGTACCTGCCGTCCGCGCAATGTATTTCAGAGAGAATCCCTTGTCTGTGATAGAACTGTCAGTGCGGAAAGTGATGGTCATGGTGTTGCGGGAGCTGATGATGTAGCCGGTGACGTCATTACAGTATTTACCCAACCGAGTGGCATAAGACGGGGAACCTTGAAAAATACAAAGAATCATTGCGCTGCCGGTTAAAAGAGATACTCATGATAGAAACACTGAAGCCAACTTCAGGCTAAATATCCTAATTATTGACCAGTGATAATTGTAAACCAATTTAATTCGAAGAAAAGTATGACTAAACTTATACTGAAGTATTTTTGTTAAAAGGAACATTGTACTTACCATCTCTGAAGAGCACGTAGTCCTTAGAACAGGATGTATCGTATTCCATAGAAATAGTCTGAACTTCAACCTTTACTTTATATCCAACAGGTGCAGAGATTGTCCACTCGCAATATACGTTGCTTTTAAGAAAGAAATGAAACGATTAGATGACATATAACACTGTGAGGGCGGCATGACAATCAGCTCACAGAACTACACGCAAAAACCTGCTGAATGACCACAAGATTCTTTTGTTCAAAGATATTTTTTTCTACACCACTCGAAATCAATATTTGGTGTGTTCGTCCTGATAATTATCAATAATACCAACACCCTGAAACTATGGATATGGCAAGACTTAATGCATAAAGCCTTCGCAACGTTCCGAACAGAGGAAGGTGATAAATAACATCAATTCTCGAGCATACGGGTATGCCTATCGTGATGCCTTCATGCAAGAAAACCCTCAAAATGATTCAAAATCTGGATCATCTGAAGTCATCACGGATTAAGTGATTCCTTCTAGCGTTGTGAAGATGCAGGGTCAGGACAGAACATTTTTTGATCGAAGGAGTCACTGTAGTAACTTACATATCTACTTACTTGACGTAATTGTTGTATGGGTACCCAGGAGATGACAGATATCTCCAGGAGTATTTGCTGGCGCTGAGCAATGAACTACCACAATTAGAAACATGCGGACTCTCTGTATAAACAAAATTGGAAGCGATGGCTATTTCAGTCACAAAAGCGGCGGAAGTTGGGAAGTGCTTTCAGAGTTATAAAAAAATAGAGTAGGATATAGCTGTTGTTTATTCAAATCTAAATACAGAATGGCTAGGACCTAAATGCAAAATATATTTTTTGACGGAAAGTCGATATATTCTCTTATGTAGGTTCCCTGCACCTACATAATGGTGTGTGTTCTATGTATTGATATAAGTAGCATTTCAATATTGTTTCGCAACACCATCTGTAAACGTGAGGTTAAAGTGTGTAACATGTGATTTTGCCTGAACAAGGGATGAAGAAAATGTTACGTCTCTTTGGTCAATGCCATCCCCAAGCACCATTATATACCTCAAACCGAACACGATAGCTCCCCCAGCCCCAGCCCCAGCCCTCACAATCTTCTTACACATTCTTCTTACACCCATATGATAAATGATTAAGCACCAAAACACAATTATTGTACCCGTGGTTGTTGTTGTTGAAAGAAATATTCCAGCTTTGTACTTCAGACTAAAACCTGGTTGCGTGGTAGAGCCGTCAGTGTGGAAGATGATAGTCATATAGTTGCTGGAGCTGACGACCTGCTTGTTGCTGTAAACGCCGCAATATTTACCCAACTGAGGAGCCAAATACGACGAACCTTGAAGAAAGATATTTTCTCACTTAGTGTTATCAGTTCTGAGGCATATACATATGCATGCCAGTATTCAAATGAAGCTGATGCTTATAGAACATGTTTGGAATAACTGTGACAGAATACACGTGCCAGTTATAACACATGAAGTCCTAAAGTGTTTTCAAATAATAAAAAACCCACCCATCTACATCGAAAACCGCTTAATTTGATCTGACGGCCATTTGCCTACTCTTGTCGATATACTGACAACATGGATTGGATTCTTTTAGGTTTTTCGTCTCAGAAGTAACAGGTAGCCAAATCGGGACGAAGACCACTATGATTATATTCGTCTGAGGAACCTGTGTACGTGTGTAAAATGTGCTTACCGTCCTTGAAGACAACAAAGTCCCTTGAACACAATGACGAATATTCCACAGACAAATATTGAATTTCAACTTTAATGTCATATCCAACGGGTGCTCTAATTTTCCACTGGCAGTTTACATTGCTGAAAATAGAATTTGTGTAGATAAAGTGGTATCATGCAAACATACATAAGAACGTGATTTCTTCAAATGTTTATTTTTTAAATATAAAACCCATATATGTATGTAAATAAGGCCTTTGGCTTTTCAACGGCCTTTGGTGTAATGACAATTTTACCACAGTCATAGGAGAATCACAACGGCAGTGTTCGTGAAGAAAAGAAAACCATTCAAATACTTCCCAATTCATGAGAAAAGTTATTTACAATTCACTTGCGTAGTGACACCTACTTACCTCGTATTTAGTGCAAGCATCAAAGTCACGTTTACAGTGCTAAATCGTAAACACGTGTGGAGTGCTGCCTACCGGTCATGTGTGTAGTGCTAAGTACCACGTATTATTTGCTAATATTAACTAACTGGTTAACCTTTATTCACTTGTCAAGAAAAGTAGGCACCTACTTGTCATAGTTCGAAGGATAGCCAGGAGAGGTCATATACTTCCATGTGAAAGAAGATGCGGAAAGATCTGACAGTCCACAGAGTGAAGCTGTAACAGCATAAAGCCAACCGAGTGAAATAATAAACATGAAAATCATTGACAGTTCATAAAAATGTAAAACCACGAGGGACTGGATGGTATGAATATCAACACACCTTAGGGGTAATGGAGTATATTCAAGTGAAGCCTGGATGCTCAGTATGATGATTCAAAATCTTTAAGTTCAAAGTTACTCTTATGGGGAACAGGGTAAAGGCAGACAAAGGTTTCTCACATGATGGGTCTCTGTAGTCGTGAGGAAATTATGCCTTTTTCTGATCATCGATATTGTATCTTTTTCTGGACCTCATATTCGTCTGGTCACCATAAATGTGTAAAAAAGTTAAAAGCAGTTGCAGTGATTATTACCAGATGAGTACTGCAAACGAAAGCCTCCTCCTGTGAAAGAACTGTCTGAGTGAAACCTGATGGTCATATGGTTACTGGAGCTTACGATGGGAGCAGACCTACTATCACAAATCTTTGCCAGTTGGTGAGCATCGGTCGTCGTACCTGAAACGTAAATGTATTAATATTGCATCTTTAATTAATTAATGAATGTAGTAATACGTATACGATGTCTTCAGTGTACAATCAGATAACATTCTCTCGAATATGAAATGTCGTAAGTGAATTATTCGTATCTAATATTCGATATAACATTAAATACATACTGAAGATATACAAAGAGAATAAGATATTTCTTTAAGTTAACATCAAATTGTGACTCAGTTATGATCACTGTTAGAAATACAACCCTTTGGCATACACTATATCATCATCGATTACAGCTGATAACAGGAACCTTTCCCGACTACTTGATTTCGATAATTGTAACAGAATATTGATTTCGCTTTTTAGTGGTGAGGGTTGCATATTTTCCTATAGTTTGTTTGTACCAAATATTCGTAATGGAATTCCTGCTTTGATGTGATGTTTGTAACAGCAGATCACTTGATTGGGAAATAAGGCTAGGTGACAAAAAGCCTCGTTTTGATAATAAGCCTCGTGTTGGCAATAAGGCAGAGTTGTGACAAAAAGGCTGGGTGACAAAAATGCTGTGTGGGAGTGAAACTTGGTTGTGACAATAAGGCTGTATTTTGACAACACAGCTAGGCTGTGACAACATAGCTGATTACAATATTTATAACTGGCAAACCAATAAAGTAACTTACCCTTACTACCATAAGCTTCTAATTTCACTGTGCCTTGTCAAATGCCTTGCTTATGTCACAGAAAACTGACCTGACGTCTTTGCCATTGTCTAATACACGTGGTTTAAAATCATACAAGTATGTCAGTTGATATACAGTACCATCATCCTGACTGCAAATTGGTCAAAACGTTATTATCTAGGAAATCTCCGATCTCTTTGAAACCAATATTCTCAAAGACATATTGCAATTAAGTTCTTAAAACATGCCACAAATATACTCTACCAAAAAAGAAACACAGGGTATTTAATCTGCTAATCTTCAAGTGAGATATGTTTTAAGGCTGTGCATTCATTCCATGTTAAAAAAACTGGCATTATAACGGCCACATCAAAACGATCAAACAATAATTTTGAAATAAATATTTGAAATTGTATATATTAGTATCATATGTTTCTTTTAAGGAGCGTATATATATATGTAGTGATCATGAAAATATCCAGATTGCAATCTTGTTTTGCTTGTTACCACCCGGAGGTCAAAGACCTTTAGCTACAACTGTTTTACTCAATTCCAAGAGGAACACAACATGCATCCTTACTTTACCTACCATCTTTAAACAGTAGATAATCATCCACGCACGATGACCTCTTTTCCAAATCTAGAAACAAAACTTTCACCGTGATGTTTCTTCCTATCGGTGCATTTATAGTCCACTGACAGTCCAATCCACTGCAAGTAAAGGGAAAAACGTAATAAAATACGTATTTAAGTTTGGTGACATTATTAAGGCGAGGTGTATCTATATGTGTATACATATTTTGATCCGGCAATCTGTATCCAAGTCTTTACTTACTTTACATAGTTGTTTGGATAGCCAGGGGAGACAATCACCATCGGACTGTAATCTGCGGGAAGCGTGAAGCTGCACGTTGTTGCTGACAATGGAGAACAGTAGCAATTGTAAAATTTTTGGTTGTTGTTTCACCACGGTTGGAGGGGGTGTGGGGTTGTGTGGGATGCGGGGTGGTGTTAGTATGCTTTTCATGGACCCAGACATATTTGTTACAAAAGACAAAAGTATTGTTTAAACTCTCAAGAGGGTGCCTAATGAATACTAAATAAATCAAGGTCGGGCAACAGTTGTTATCTGTATAATCTACAATGCATTAAAACACAAAAACATTTTTGAGCTGACCTGCCGGGGCAGTGTTGACATCAGTTACAATGGGAGGCAAAAATAAACATACGTGTCGTGAATTATTGGCGTATTTTATAGACATTTATCATTTACCATTTT